TATAATGATCGTGGAGGATATCAAGGAAACAACTATACTGGTAATCATAACACACAAGAGCCAAGTAGAATTATTTATTGCAGACGTTGTGGACAGGAAGGTCACATGGTTAGAGGATGTGTGAATATGCCAGACCAATACAAGGCTTTAAACACCAACCAGTCTACACCAAGGGGCGGGTCGTAGACGAGAGGAAAGACAGTAGCCCTTTGGAACATCAAGACATATGCAACAACATAACATCAACTAAAATACCTGCTGGACTTTGTGGAACACCAACAGAAGCCAAAGTAAGAATTGAAGGCATTGAAACAACAGCTCTCCTAGATACTGGATCAACTGTATCTACAATCAGTACCAACTTTTACCAGCAGTATTTATCGCACTTACCCATGAAAGAACTTAACCAACTTTTAAAGATTAAATGTGCTTGAAAGCTTTACCATACATTGGATACATAGAGACAGAGTTGCATATACCAGAATTACATCAGGATATACCATGTATATTACTTATCGTACCAGACAGCGATTACAACAACAACATACCACTCTTGTTAGGAACTAATACCCTTAGTCACAGCATTGAACTTTGTAAGGAACAACATGGATGCAAGTTTCTTCAACAAGCAAGGCTTACAACACCATGGTACACGTCATTTAGATGTATAACATTAAGAGAAAAGGAATTAAAGAGGAATGATAACAGATTAGCTGTCATCAAAAGCGCTGAGACAAAGACTATTACCATACCACCCAACAGCAACATAAGAATATCAGGTTACGTCGACAAAGGATTACCTTACCATACATCAGCAGCCATAGTACAACAAACTTCACATTCTATCATGCCATCAGATTTAGATATCACTCCATCTTTAGTAGATTATCATCATGGAATTTATAACCGTATAGATGTCAACATCAGTAACGTAACTACTAGAACCGTCACCATTCCACCTAAATGCATCATTGCTGAAATACAACCTGTAACTATACAAGATCAGCCAGTAAAGGATATAGATGACTTCACAACACCATTGTTAGATCAAGTTAAGATTGCTGAGCATAACCTGTCAACTGATGAACTACAGAGAGGAAAAGATTTCATTACATCTTACAGTGACATCTTCTCGAAGAGCGACATTGATGTTGGACACACTCACATGGTTAAACATCGAATAGACCTTGATGATTCAACACCATTTAAACAACGCTACAGAAGGATACCACCATCTATGTATGAGGAGGTTAAAGGTCACATCCACCAACTACTTAGAGCTGGTATTATCAGGAAGTCATTTAGTCCATATTCATCTAACTTGGTATTAGTACGCAAGAAAGACAACTCTCTGAGACTATGTGTGGATTTTCGCTCCCTCAACATTAAGACGAAAAAAGACGCCTACGCTTTGCCTTGCATAGAAGATATATTAGATTGTCTGGCAGGAAACCGATACTTTACAGTCATCGACATGAAATCTGGATATCATCAGATAGAGATATTAGAAGAACACAAGGAGAGGACAGCCTTTACAGTTGGTCCATTAGGATTATATGAGTATAACCGCATGCCATTCGGTCTCACCAACTCTCCAGCAACCTACCAACGGTTGATGCAAGACTGTCTCCATGATTTACACATGAACATCTGCTGTATATTTATAGATGATGTCATAATTTTTTCCAAGACATATGAAGAACATCTAGAACGTTTGGATCAAGTCTTCGAAAGAATCAGAGAAGGTAATTTGAAGTTATCACCAGGAAAGTGTGCATTCTTCCAGTCACGAGTGAAGTACGTAGGCCATATAGTTTCTGAGAACGGTGTCGAGACAGATCCAGCGAAGATAGATCGTATACGCACTTGGCCAACTCCAACAACACCGGAAGAAGTAAGGAGATTTATTGGTTTCGCAGGATATTATAGAAGGTTTATCCACCATTTCAGCCAGGTTGCGAGACCGCTTACTGATTTGATGCCAACACCAAAAGCAAAGAAGGGAAAAAAGAGTAAGAAAGAACAAAAATCTTGGACTTGGGGAGAAAAGGAAGAAAAGGCATTCAAGGAATTGAAGGAAAGACTTGAATCAGCTCCAATACTTGGCTATGCAGATCATCAGAAGTCATTTGAGTTGCATACAGATGCTAGTAGTCTAGGATTAGGAGCAGTGTTATATCAGGAACATGAAGGTCATCAACAGGTCATTGCATATGCTAGTCGAGGATTGACTAAAGCCGAGAGACATTATCCAGCTCACAAGATGGAATTTCTAGCCTTGAAGTGGGCAGTCACGGACAAGTTTCACGATTACCTCTATGGACATCCTTTCCGTGTACTTACAGATAACAACCCCCTAACATATGTATTGACCACCGCAAAGTTAGATTCAACAGGACACAGATGGCTATCATCGTTAGCTGCATATGATTTTGACATTACATATCGTCCAGGAAAGAACAACGCAGATGCAGATGCATTATCAAGGTTACCTAAACCAGATGAGGGAACAGTTATATCCAAAGATTCCATCAAGGCCATCTGTGGAGTCATATCAACACCTTATGTGGATACATTAGCAGTAACACCTGATGTTTTGGATACAGCCAACATAGATATGCACATGCAGATAGAGGACAACATTGATTGGTCACACTTACAACAGTCAGATTCTCAACTGCAACCATGGATTGAATTTGTAAAGTCTGGTATGAAACCAAAGAAAGGACATCTACCACCTAGTCCATTGAAAAGACACTTTGATCAGCTAACAGTTATAGATGATGTTCTATACAGAGAGATAGTTATAGATGACAGGAAGATCAGACAACTTGTTTTACCAGCAACACATGTTCCTATGGTCCTGGAAGCACTTCATGATGAGATGGGTCACCCTGGACGTGATCGCACTAGCTCTTTAGTGCGCGACAGATTTTATTGGCCATCTATATCTAAAGACATAGACGAGTGGATACAACATTGCGACCGGTGTCTAAAAAGAAAGAAGGAACCACATAGAGCTCCTATGAAGAACATCACTTCGTCGCAACCTATGGAACTAGTATGCCTGGATTTTCTTACCTTGGAACCATCAAAAGGAGGAATACAGAATATCCTGGTGTTAACAGACCATTTCACTCGCTATGCACAAGCAGTGCCTACAAGGAACCAAACAGCCAGAACAACAGCAGAAGCATTGGTCAACAGCTTTGTGGTACATTATGGGATACCAAGTAGACTACACTCAGACCAAGGTGCTAATTTTGAAAGTAAGGTGATAAAGGAGCTATGTCAAATCCTGGGAACACAGAAATCCAGAACAACGCCCTATCACCCTATGGGAAATGGAATGACCGAGCGATTCAACAGAACTTTATTGGGAATGCTTGGTACATTACAGCCACATCAAAAGACCAACTGGAAGGCACATGTTGCACCACTAGTCCATGCATATAATTGCACAAGACATGAGGGAACTGGACAGTCTCCATACTTTTTGATGTTTGGCAGAGAACCCAACCTACCTATTGATACTGCTTTTGGACTTACATCTGAGGCCACACATCAGCCCAAGTCTAAGTATGTTCAGGAACTGAGACAAAGATTAGCCAAAGCCTACGAACTTGCATCCAAGGCAGCTGACAGAGCCAGGATAAAGCAGAAGGCTGGTTATGATGTGAAGACAAGAGGTGCTACATTGCAAAAAGGAGACAGCGTACTTGTCAAGATTGTAGCCTATGATGGTAAACACAAGATAGCCGACAGATGGGAGGATGATGTGTACACCATCATAGATCAACCAAACGCAGAGCTACCTGTATTTACTGTGCAGAAGGAGAGTGGCGAGGGCCGGAAACGCACTTTGCATAGGAACCTTCTACTGCCAGTTGGATACATAGCTGAAAGGAAACCAACTCCAGCACCAAGAGTTAACGTTCCTAGAACTAGAACCAGGACTAGACACAAGACACCTCAGCAATCATCAGAGTCATCCGTTTATGATAGTTCAGATGAGGATACTTCAGTAATTGTAGTATATGACACAGTACCCATTGTCACGGATGAAACCACAATTCAGGATGTTGATCAGTCTGACCATGATGAATCAGAATCTGAAGGGGACGCCCACTCCATAGAACAGAGTATTGATGGAGAAGATTCTGAGAGCAATACAGGAAGCGCTTCAGCAGATGAGCAGGCGGATGGACATGTATCTCAACCTACAGTTGAGCCAACAGATGAACCAGAGCCTTTAGATGAAGTTCCTAGACGTTCAGCACGTGCTAGAAAGGAACCTACATGGATGCGATCAGGAGATTTTGTTGTTAAGTCTGCTGTTCCAGTGGTACAGCCTTGGCAGCAGAAAGCTGAGTATATTAGGGATTGTATTGCGAGAGGTGTATTTATTGGATTGGAGAGACAGGCAGGGGAGGCTTTATTGTCAGTGATCACTAAGGATTGATATGGTTTTATAGTATTTTGTGATATTTTTATTTTTTTTTTACATTAACTTAATGATTGTACTTTAGTTTATTTCAGAATTTACTCCTTTAAAATGACAGGGACGTCATTTTACATTGAGGGGGAGTATGTGCCAGAGTCATATTTGATTGGTAATCAAATATGATTAGTATTAGTTAATATAGTTTTAGTCATATATTTAGTTACTTTGCTTATTATATTTGATACAGCTATGATTTTCACTCTTTAGTATTCAGTTTCACACTTTCCTTTATTGGACCTCAGTCATTTTCCTGTACTGAACCTCATTCAGTTTTGGAGGGAAAGTACTGGTCATTCTATTGGTCACTTGTGAGTTGTTTAGGTATTCTCTATTGATTCCTTTGTTCCATTTAATTTTCTAGTGACAGTATTGTTACTTACCTGTTTTATTAGCCTTGGTGACATTTTGACAATATTTGATATTGGATATTATATACATATTTCATACTTCTGTTGGAATTCATTATTCATTTCTACAGGTCAGTTTTATTCTATTTTCTAACAAGAACTAATATATTGATGTTTTAACATATTGAATAAAAGATGAATGAATGAGTTGAATGAAAGTATATGCAGAGGAAGTGATTAAAATTAATAACACACATATTAAAATATAAACCTTTATTAGTAAAGCATATTTGGTAAATGTCAAATAGAATAAAGCATTTAAAACAGTATATAAACTTCATAGTTTTCTATACATTTAAAAGTACATGAGTACAGAGATCTGATACTAAGATAGACATTTTATTGAGTACATTGTGTTTTGATTAATGTAAGAATAATGTCCAGGTCAGTGGACTTATGAATGTTATATTTATTTTATTCAGATTATGATATTGAATTGGTTTTGATAGAAATCAAGTAGATGGTTCCACGCATGACCCATATACCACATATATGGTAAGGAATGTGTTACATGTTTTAGTTTGTGATTGTCTTGTCTATTTTGTAACTGTATAGTGTTATAGTGTTTATATGTAATTGTCGGAACACTAACATTGAGATTGCTAGTGCTTATGCTTATTTATAATACTTTAGAGCACATGATTATGAGACGTTATTTGTGCATTTTATTTTAATATAAGAGAAGTAATAGCATTGGAATATATTTGACTTATTCCCCTTTGTCTATAAGTCTGTTTTATGTTGTTATGTGTTGTCTATGTAATGTGTATTTATTATTGTTATATATGTTGTAGGGTTTAATAATATGCAGTCAGTGTTAATAAAACCACTATAAAGAACCCTAGATAGTCCATTTGTACTTATTGAGCCTTTTGGACCTGCTATAATAAGGCATAGGTACTTTAATTCAGTCACGGAACCGCTGGTGTGTTCTAGTATATTTTTAATGGTACGAGTTTGCAGTGGTACGAGTTCGCAAGGGAATGACTTTGCAGTGGTACGAGTTGACTTTTAGTGGTAAGAGTTGACGTGGTACGAGTTTGCAATGGTACGAGTTAACTTGCTTCCTCAATAGAGCTTCTCGTAGAGAACACACAGGAATCAGAAATTCTATCAATAAAATTCTGTAAATAATAAAGTCGACTATCAATAGAGCTCTACAAGAAGCTCTATTGATAGTCGACTTTATTATTTACAGAATTTTATTGATAGAATTTCCGATTCCTGTGCCTATTTTGAGGGCTGTAACTTGTCAAATGGACAATCTAAAAACATGATCCAAATGTAGCTGTATTTTTAAATTACAAGAAGTACAAGTGAATAACTATGTAGTATATTCAATGTTTTCGTAGTTCAATAAAGCACGAATATTGTAAATGTCTTGAACCTGTTCACACTCAGTTTGAAGTTGCAGACGACAAACGGCCAGTGGATCAAGCGGTCCGCGGGTCCGAGTCAGCGTTATATCTTGCGTAAACAAAAGTTTAAAGCTGTGAAGTAACATATTATTCAATATAACATGTGCTTTTACTAAGACATATGAGATTTTTTATGAATATGTACCATCAAACAAATTGAAAATTCGTGTCGAAATTCCCTCTGCTTCCACTACACACAACTTATCTTTTCAGTAGAGAGTGTTTCAACATAATCAAAACTATCGCCAGATTGTTTCTTCTAAGAACCATATAAAATTCCACCTAATACTATTTATAAAGTTTTAACAATAAAGCACCACAACGACCTTTAAAAATCGAATTTGCAGCGCAAGAGACAATTAAATGAAACAAATGATAATAATGAGGAACCAACAAGGCGTGCAAATACGAAATTAACGCGTGATACAATTGTCAGGAATAAAATCGTCATAGATTCCAGAATTTAACATTTTGTACGCCACTGAGACGCGCGTTTCTCCTTTCCATGTATAATCAAACATGTTACAAATAAAAAGAAGCGTATGCAGTTCTATTCATATACAAAACAACAACATGTTCTTTAAATATCTGAATGTTCCTTATGAAGTAAAGGGGAAAACAAATCAACTAGCCAACTTGATCAAATTGAATAACCTTACATTGACTGATTCGGCATACTTAATTACAAAACGACTAAGAGACCCTCATCGTCACTTGACCCGTGATTTTCCTATTTCAGCCAACGGATATCGCACTTAAAGCACTCTTGCAAATTGTCGCCAGACTATTATTCTTTATTATAACATAACATTTAAGGTTCCTTTAAATGGCGATACGTTAATCATTGTATTTCGCTTTCGTTTTGGATGAGAAAATGCAACACAGAACAAAAAATGAAGCCATTTTGCGTTACATTATCCCAATCATAGAATAGAATAGAAAAGAACATTTTATTTTAAGTCGGGTTAACATGAAACATTACAAACATAAGCTCTGTATCCAACCTCACTCACTGAGGCATGCGCCGGAAAGTAATCTTCAAAATGTTGATGGTTTTCTGTACCTAAAGAAGAAAGAAGAAGAAGAGCTTTTTGCCGACATTAATAACATAACAACGCATACAATATTAAGACACATAAAACATATTAAGCATACACATTAGACATGCAAAGTAAGACAGCTATATTGCATAAGCAAAAATGTTCATATATCATGTAAAAGCATAGCACAAACAAGCAAAGCACTAAACTAGATTATAAGCACTAAACTAAATTGTAAACACTAAACTAGATTATAAGCACTAAACTAGATTATAAGCACTAAACTAGGTTATAAGCACATGCAAATCAGACGAAATAAATAAAGCTCTTTCACCACCTAACGTTTCTATAGGTAAACCCAATAAAGGATACTTCAACATCGTTCAAGACGGATTGTTTTAAACTATTTGAAAGACCAAAATATCGTCCACCAGCAAAATTGAATACTAGTATTAGAAAGAATTAGAGTACATGTCGCCAGGTAATGAAAGATGCTCTTTCACCCCATTGTAATATACATATATATGTTGTGTACAAGTTATCATTTTGTACAAATTATAATTTGTACAAAAAAATTGCACAAATTATAATTTGTATTTTCACTTTATACAAACTGTTATTTGTACAAAAAGTGCTTGTACAAATTACAATTTGTACAAAATTTAATTAAAATTGACTTATAACTTGTACCATAATTTATAGTATGGATTTTGTTATAAAAAAAAGCATTGATATACACTATAGAATTTTTATTCAATGACCACACAATAAACCTTATTTACAAAATACAAAAATACCCAGATGGAGACAGGAAATGTAATTGATACATGCATATCAGTTAATTCTGATAGTACAATAGAAATTGGCACTACCAGGCAACCAGGATGACACTGACGTTGAAACACCAATCATACGTGCCAGGAAGCGTGCACTGTCTGGCCACCAGATTCAAGCCGAATATCTAACAAAGAAAACGAAACGGAAATTACCAGAACTTGCTGTGGGGGATAACGTCATTATACCAATTCCTCAGTATAATCGTGCCCCAACTGATCCTCGAAATATCTTAGGTGTATTTATTGAATCTGGGTACAGCATTGGAACAGCTAAAGGGATTTTAACAGGATATTTGTTGAGAAATCAAATTGAAGCTGTTAAAAACACATCTTTATTCGCATCAACGGTTCATGAGCTTCAACTTTCGCTACGTGAATCAGTTAAAAAGCTTTCAAAAACTGGTGGTCAGGGTCCGCCAGAGGTTTCTTTCCTAGCTGTAAATGCAAAGGGGTGCAGCACTTATAAATGTAAGTGTAAAAAGCAAAAGAAGTTGTGCAATTCCCGATGCCATAATTCACTCACATGCTCAAACAAATGATACAGAACTATTTTTGTATTTTGTAAATAAGGTTTATTGTGTGGTCATTGAATAAATATTCTAAAGTGTGTATCAATGCTTTTTTTATTACAAAATCCATACTAAATTATTGTACAAGTTATAAGTGAATTTAAGTCAAATTTTGTACAAATTGTAATTTGTACAAGCACTTTTTGTACAAATTACAATTTGTACAAAGTGAAAATATAAATTATAATTTGTACAATTTTTTTGTACAAAATGATAACTTGTACACAACATATATATTATGGTGTAGACGGGGAAAGCTACAAACAAACATTTGATTCTTATTTCTTTCAATATATGTATATTGTAGATTTTCATGTATCACGTTTCGAAAATAATTTAGAAAATACTAAAAGGTTTAATAATGCGTCATTTCTATGATTCACTGAAACAAAAAGTATTCTGAAACAGTTTTTTGTTCGTACCGGCCAACTATCTGGTAGTGTTATGGTGTAAAGACTACATGGAAGTTCAAAAGCATGAAATAAGTTCTTTTATATCAAGGTCGTACGCTCTAATAAGTGCTGACCTGTTTTACACTTGTCATCATAAATGACTCATAACAATTAAGATATTGGTGTTGCGTGTCAGACGTCATGATTGTGACGCCATCAAGATAAACGTTGTCATAGGTGCTCTTGGATAAAAAGACCAACATGACTTTGGTAGCGGCGAAACACATTTGTAAAAAAGTTGATATTTGATATATACAAAGGTAAAATGAACAAACGAAAATATATATCTTTAACTACAAGAAGAAGACTGCTACATTACAAAGGTATGCTACCATAAGACACCAATTTCGTAGGTCACAATTTTAGTCACTAATCGAGAAAGTGAGAGATTCTTTGGCGTTTCGTGTCATGATTTATGATTTCTCATAGGAAAACTGGTTGTTGCATTATTGAATGAAATACTTGTGACCACGGGTGTTGGACAAACCAGAGTCAACCACACAGATTAATATGTGCAACATGACCGAGGGCTTATATTGATCGAGGGCTGGTTCTTGCAGTATACGATATAAAAAGGTTGCAAACAGAGATAATACGTTGAGCATAAAGCACGAAGGAGAAAACCTGCACATTCGAGACATTTTTTGCCAGCAGGCATTAATATTGAGGATTTAGGTCTAAGGAGATACGATAAGAGACCACTGCATGTAATTTCATGGAATTAGAAAATAACCCTAGCTAATACTTTCAACAGTTGCCCGAAACAATACGACCGAACGGTCACTCAAGAATTGTTTTTTGTTTCAATGTGGTTTAATGTGATTACATATACCCAACAAAAAATATAAATTGATGGAAAATTATTCAATCCTTTCAAAATTATGTAAGTTATATTGTGAATAGGGTGATACAAGCTGTAAACTTTAGAACAGAAATGTCAATTGTGATCATAATTTCACTATATCGTCATAAATATGCTGTAATTGACATATTTGAACTAAAATGGTAATTTTACACATAATTTTTGGTCAAATGAGCCAATGTCTTATCAGAAAAGATACTTTGCCAACATATGCATGCTTGTTTAAAACATCTTGTAGCAAACTATCTTTTTTTATTAAGACCTTTGCCAAGAGTAAATATTGATGACAACATTTCAAAATAATCCTATTTTGACAGTTTTTGTAGTGTAATAAATTGTAAGATATTTGGAGCCTTTAACTAAGACGCAGTTCAAAAATAAAGATAAAAAGAGTCGGAAGTTGTATAATGTCTTATGAGCATCTGTTAATGTTTAACCACAGCAAGGGCGTCTTGAACAGCAATCATTGTGGTGGTATTTGTTTATCCGTTTTTGAAGGGCTCGCTGCGACTTTGAGTGGAAGAACAGCAATAAAAGTACAATTTCTTTGCCTTTGTTTTTTCGGTTAGGGAAGTGATTTTGTGTAACAAGTTTTCACAATATACTCTTTTTTTCCAGTACCTGAGAGATGCTATTTGATAGATTCATCAAACTTTTCTATATCCGATGTCAAGGGGCCAAAACGATGCCTTATCATATCTTCACCTTTTTTACTATGTATTGTTCACTTTTATATTACCGACACATAATTCTAAAGGATGTGTTAAAGGTTACGTGATCCAGTGTATGCGATATACTACTACTGTATAATATAGTAGGTTATAGTATGGCATCTATATTAGATATTCAAAATGATAGTATAAAAAATTCAGGCAATATAGATATAAAAGATGTATTTGTCACTGAAGAATAGAGGATGAAATCGATTGCAACACATTCAAAAAACAATTATTGAGTGACCGTTCGGTCGTATTGTTTCGGCCAACTGTCGAAAGTATTAGCTAGGGTTATTTTCTAATTCCATGAATTAGTTTAAATAATGATTATACATGACATAAATTCTCCAAATATATAAGAATGCTAGAGACATACGAAATTGAAAATAATTTATCGCAATCTAATTAAATACAGATCCTGTGTCCATGATTTGCTTACAAGGATCTGAAAACATACCGTTCTACTTTCTTTCCTAGAAATAATTACACCAACCATGCAATGAAATTTCAGTCTTTAAACTTTTGGAAGGTCTGTATCATTACAACAAAACATGAGGATTCCGAAAAATTTCTAAAACAGAAAGTAGAACGGAGCACTGCCAGATCCTTGTAAGCAGAGCGTGGACCGGCACACGGGATCTGCATTCCAATCAGACTTATCAAAATGAAATACGACGAAATATATTCACCATACTGTGTCAGCTCCTTAAAATCTTTTCCCTACGAAGAAATATCGATAGCGTTCTATTAATGTGATTGAAGAAAATAAACCAATGAGTTTATGGAATAAAAAAATGAGTTCAAGAAGTTCCGTTATCTATACAAGCGTCCACAAACAACTAGCAGAATCGTTCAGCAGTCTTTTTTTATTTCAAAAATCGTTTATTCAGTTCTCTTCATGAAACTGTTTTCACAATTAATCGAATCGTAGCAATAGTCTGCCTTTTTTTAGTGACATAACCAACCTTTTTATTTATTGGGAACAAACTCGAAGTTACGTTTTTTTTAAACAATAAACACATGCTGCTTTACAACTCTTATTGAACTATCTTACGATCAGAGGTACCAGTACAACAAGAACAACGATTCCTTATATAAGTCCGATGTACTGTTAATTAGTGTTCAAGGTCTTATTTTTTTCTCATAAGCCTGATTATGCATGGTTTTTTCACAAAATGTTTTGTGGAATTCTTCTCTTCGTTAATATTATATATTATATGCTGTATCAGTATATTTCTTTGTCGTGTCGACTATATAAAATTGAATTCGCTTTTACTTTCAGATTTTTGAAATAAAACATGGGAATTAAACATCTATGTGGTTACATTCAACGACGTAATGTTGTAAAAAAATACCGTCTTCGGGATACCAAATTAGTCATAGATGGGAAGAATCTTTGTCACGAGTTAATGGAAAAATCATACACTGGCACCAAATATGGTGGGAATTATGATGTATTCTCAGAGCACGTGGAAATGTTTTTCAATTTATTACGAAATTGCAACGTTCAACCGTATGTTGTCATGGATGGTGCTCACGATTCCGACGATAAAAAGTTCATTTGTCTCCTAGAAAGATGCGAGAAAAGGATATCTAACACATCAAATGGCAGGAAGAAATACTTCCCAATCTTGTCCCACAGATGTTTCACTTACACTATAAAAAAACTTGGCATTCCAATCGAGACATGTAACTACGAAGCTGATCATGAAATAGCCAGTCTTGCTAATTCTTGGAAATGTCCTATTCTGTCAAACGACAATGATTTTTACATATATGATCTTCCGGGAGGATTTATTCGCTTAAACGATATAAAATTCAACAGACATACTAAAACTGAGTACTCAACATATATTGATACTTCAATATACTATACAGAGAATATTCAAGAATCGTTTGGAATTTCAGCACCTGTGTTACCGCTTCTTGCGGTCTTTCTGGACAATGACTATTATAAGTTGGATAAGGCAATTATTGAGCAGTTCGTGTCAAAAGAACTGAACATTTCACACAAACAAGCTAAACACAAGCTTAAGATGCCAATCGATGTTATGATAGAAGTATTACGATCCTTCGCCGATACAAGTGAGGGTATCGATGCTTTGACGATATGTCTTGCTGATATCACATTCTTATCGAATGAAGAGAAATGCCAAATCATCGACAACGCAAACATTATTTTAAAACAGTTTACTTTGCAAAATATAACCGAAACAGAAAACTCTAGTCTCTTTAATTCGGAAGCAAAGATTGAAGTAACGCCAGCAATACCATTTCCATCTTGGCTTACTCAAAGTATTCGGAACTGTGACATATCGCCTTTCATTATTAATGTTCTTGACAAAAGAGTTTTACTGAAACCCAATCTTGAAGACTTAACACAAGAATTCCTGTACGAAATGACATCACCGATACGTCAAATCATATACAAGATGGCGACTGGCAAACAATTACAGGAAGTGATCGTCGAACACCACAGAGAAAACTGTCACATGGTGCAAACACGAATTTTTCCTATGACTAGTAATTTGAAACTAGGCAAAATACCCTCTTTGAATATGATGCAAGGTATTGAGGAAGAAGAAAGATTATCGTTTTTAGCAAGAACTTTCCAGTTTCCATTAGAAAACTTAGTAATGATTCCGAAGGTGTCTAGAATGTTCATACTTGCTTTAAACTACCTCGCTAAAAATTCTGGATTGAAGGAATCAACAAAAGGCTTAAAATTCTGTTGTTTAGTCACATGCTTCTGCTGAGCAAAGAATATGGGCATATCTATGATCTCCCTGTAGATTCAGCGTGTGTAAATAGAGTTTTTGAATACTGTGCAGACGACAGCAGTGTGCCATTTGATATTGCACTGTTACATGAATTTCAGAAACTTCAGGTTGTGATAGACATATTATACGATCTAAATGGCCTATTCATGTTTCCTTTGGAAATCCTGAACCCAAACGCCATGTACAAAGGTGGGCTAATGTATCCACTGTTCACAAAAACAGACAACGAGGAACATGTCGATAGAATAATAGAGACATGTCTTGAAAAGGATTCCCCGTTGAGGATAACATTTTTAGAAATTTTAAAGTTGCTTTTAGAAAACCTTAAATAAATGCATAATAAAGCAGTATGGAACGGGAATTATCAAAAATGAAACTCGAAGTTTATGGCACCAATTGCTGATTTCGAAATACAATTAGAGAGTTCTATAAATGGCCTAATCTGTGAACGTATACTCCATTCGTCTTATATTTACTATCTTAGATATGGTTTACTGGAATTCATCGTTGTTAAAAATGGTCTACATCCACTTCATTTGAACGTTGGTGGATAGTTGTCTCATGACAATCATACCACATCTCCTTATTTATATATATGTAGTTTCAGATAAGACAATGGTCACTAGTGTGTGTTACAAATGTATACAAAGCAGGAGTTACTATATAGCTGTGGAGTAGTTGAGTAATTTTATCCAATTTTGGATATTTTTGCCCTGTTAACCATAAAACTTCGATCTGAAAAAATAATTTCCACTGTACTTATAGTATTTATATGTAAAGTGTTAAAGCTAATTGTAGGATTTGTTTGGTTAGCAATAAAATTAGCATCGTAATAGATATCTCAAGCACCCCTTGCGCTGGTGTAAAATTTCCAAAAGCTGTGCGATATGCAGTCAAGGCCATCTATGCATGCCTAGGGTGAAAATGTCTTAATTTACGAATAATTCAACATTTTTATTAGAAAGTTTTCAGAAAATGACCGTGCCAATGATTTCTCATGTTAGCACAGAACTGACTACTAGGCTGGTGCCTGGGGACGAAAGTCCATCATCAGTAGCATCATGACTCAAAGCAAAAATATCATCACAGCGCACACTGTATGTTTACCTTGAACATGGTACAAGAACCTTCAATAATGTGTACCCGGCTTCATCTTTTGGTTGGGTTTTTTATCTTCAAATTGATAAAATATAAACATTTGATGGTTGATAATTGTCGGCTTAACGTCCAGTGGCAATTACATCATGCGTATTTAGGACAATATCAACATTTCAAAACTATGACCAATATCAAATTGATTGTATAAGTTTTCCTATTCATGTACTACCACTTCACATTCTTGAAGAAACATACCATCTGCATCTTTCTATGGTGTTTACGCATATTAGGGGACGACCATTTGATATTCTGGGGGGGGGGGGGGGGGGGGGGGGGCAGAAGGATTTGTTTTTGGATGGGTTATTTATTTTTGTGGACCAAAAGGACAGATTATTTATTTTCTGCACTGTTGAAGCATGATTTTTCATTTTCATTAAAACAAGGGACTGGTTATCTATTTTCACAATTATATTTATAATATTTGTAAACATACAATTTTTAAATTCTCAAATAAACAACATAGTCAATTAAGTCAATCAGAATTAATCATCATCCTCTGGAAGTTAATCTTCTGAATTGCTAACTGCATATATTGCATACGTACAAGGTATTAAAGCTGGGCTGTAACTAGCCTCTTTTAAAAGTTGTCAAAAAAAAATCAGCGAAGAGTCTGGGGTTCGCTGAAGGCCCCAAGAAGCTATAGAAAAAATGGCGCGAAATCATGCATTATGCGCGTCTCAGACCCTTTCTTAATCTGAAACGCAAGTTCTGTTTTAATTGTTTGACAATATTCTGGTCTCCAAGCAAAATATATAGATTCAGAGTAAGACTTTTAGTTTTTAGGGACAACATCAAAAGACCAATATGTAGGACAAAGCAAAAAAAGTTTCAGTTTGCAGAAAACCTTTTATACCTGTCAATTATGTTTTTTTTTTCAAATTAAGTTAAGAGGGGGCTGATTATCATTGATATAACTATGTCAAGTCAGTTTGTATAACACATTTCAATTACAACTTGATGTAGTTCCTAACTGGGATACAATTTAAAGTAGTTTGTAATAGTCAAAAGGTCCTTAAATATAATAAAACTCAAGTTTAATACATAATTACTAAATTACAAATAGAATTTAACACTAAGAGAGTAGTCATAAAGAAGGGCAATCAATGAACAAAAGACGAACCCGGGAACAGATAAAACACAAAACGAAAAACATTATAGACAATCAACACTGAAAAATAAAAATAAATGAGAAACATGGATCTCAAAAAACAGGGGCTACGTAAGAGGGTGAACAGAACTTGCTTCTTGCAAGACACTTGCCATGAAAACAATTTGATATGAAGACAAGCTTTTGTTTTGAAATTTCCAACATGAGGCATTTGCCTCAATGTAGATACGGCCCTGTAATAAAAGTGAGGTAAAAGTTCACGAGACAATATACCTCAAATGAAATGAAACCCATTTTCAGACATTTCAAATACATTAATATTTAAATTATTAAAAGATTTGGGAATTTTTTTTCGAAAAAAATATGAAAAAAGACGAATTTTGGAAGAATCTGGTGCCATCTCATACTTCAGAATAGCATTTATAAAATGGCTTAAAAGACCTGCCAAGTTATTTTCAATACATTGTAAGTCAGGTTATTTATTTTCAAACTACCACAGAACAAACCATTCATTTTTGTTATTATCAAGGCTGAGTTATTTATTTTCAAAATCCTCCTGCCCCTCCCCCACCCACCCCCAGAATATCAAATGGTCGTCCCCTTAGGTAAAACAGTATTCCCATGATGTCACTAACATCGTTGTAATCTTAACAAATTTAGCAAGGTTATAGGAGAAAGAACACTTGAAATAATCACATCATAAGTGTTCGTGTCCTTATCACGAATTAGTTGATTGCAACGGTTACAGTGTCACATGTACTCAACTTACTAGAGAAGTTAATCACAGATCTAAAGAGGACCGTTGAATGAATATTTGAGGCGCCAGCTGAACCTAACGGTCGAAATTTAGAAATTATAACTGTTGACGAACGATTCCAGCGACAAGTATTTTCCTCAAAGGTCACGAATGGTACGATCAAACTAGGGGATAAGTTCTCGTTGCTAAATCTTATTGGTCACTTCCGGTCACGTCCGTTTTCCGTTCTTATCACTGTCACTACTCCCGTTGGCAAGTGGCCAAGGATTTTGACTGTGGAAGGGGTTTACAATGGACAAAACGTACAGAATAAAGGGTAAAAATGATAAAGAATAGAGAATAATGAGGGTCCTGATGGGCGGTCCTTCATTTCTGTAATTTTAATTTTTAGGCCATTTTTTTCTGTTCTTTATACCGTTTGCCAATTATTCTCTATTCTTTATATTTTAGCACCTCATTATTCTCTATTCTTTATTTTGTTGGTCCATTTTTCTCTATTCTTTATACTTTTTGCCCATTATTCTCTATTCTGTAAACTCCCATCCACACCGTTTGCTGAAAAATAAAGAATAGAGCATAATGGCCAAAATAAATAAAGAAGAGAGAAAAATGGTCCATAAAATTAAAGAATCAATAAATAAAGGTCCCCATCCAAACCCTCATACTTGATATGCCTTTGGACACGTATGACGGTTGATGCATTCATAGCAGAAGATGCTTATTCTGTGTCGGTTCGAGCTGGTCGCATTCCAATTTTCTTTGAGCGTAACCAGTATAAAAATAAAGAGATGCGGTATAATTGCCAATGAGACACTCTCTGACCAGAGTTTAAATTACCTCACAGGATGTAAGAAACTATTAAAGGTTACCGTACGGCCTTCAACAATGACAAAATCCGATACCGTATAGGAAGCTATAAAAGGGAATGGCCATTCACAGGGGCTCGTTTAGTACAGTCAGATGAGGTTTTACTGTTAATGGCGGTCGCGATCCTATATATAAAATGGTTACATTGACAGTAAAACCTCACCTACCTCTGCTTAACGAGCATCTGTGGTCTATCTCTGTTTGTACCTTGACTTTAGTTAATTCACTAACAGACATTGGCATACTACCTTTCTATTTAATGTAATACTGTCGTAACTTTTTAGTATTAAAAGGACTAAAAAGTTATTTGATATTTCCCTTTATTATATATAAACCCATCCGACTTTTGACAGTTAAAAAGGCAAAAATTACGTTAAAAATTGATATTGAAAATGTTTGCTATCGCCACACAAAGATTTGCTACTCGGGTTTACTTGGCATACAATTTAAATTGAGTTGTTCCCCTTTAACTGGTATTTTTGAAATCCAAATAATAATTAACATTGTAAAAATATATAATAAATTAGAGCAAACAATACAATAAAAACAAAAATTAAATATTTTACATATCCCATATTTTAGACAAAACAAATGTATTATGTAGAACGACATGTGGTAGGAATGCAATCTTTCTTTTCATTCTTTTTAGGTGCAATTAACACTATGAAATCTTAGATGACTCCAGACTTCGCCTTACTGGCTTCACAAGCAATAAAAGTTAAATTCCTCTAAACCTTTCGTGTTTATTTTTTTCAAGATTTTGGCAATAAAACTAAAAACTAGAAACCATCGTGTTTCTTCCAATGATCATAAACGTCACTTCTCATTTGCGAGTTAACTCAGACAGAAAATGATATTGTATTCTTTAAATTAAAACAAGCATGCAATGTGCCGTTTCCGCAAAAGAAATTGAATAACATAAAGTATATTTGTAAACAGATTTCCAAAACCGCAGTAGACAGTTCTTTTTTTATTATTTGAAATCGAGCTTTTTATTTGCCCGCCATTAAGAAAAAATAGTGTAATGGATTTGATATGATTTTGGTTTGTAGATCAAATTTTAGCTATGACGCGCTTATAGGAAATTTTGAAGACGATATTGTCGATTTAAGTGGCAAAAAAACTAGTTCTTTTCGAAATATAGCAAGACAGCGGTAGTCCCATTTGCATAGTAAGATATAACAGCACGTCTTTGTATATTTTAGAACTAAAAAATAATTCTAGACTTTAAATATTAAAAGGTCCCTCGAACCTTCATATAATACCAATAGTTTTGGGTAGGGTTCGTGCTGCTCAGTCTTTAGTTTTCTAGGTTGTGTTTTGAGTATTGTTGATTGTCTTTCGGTCATTTTCTTGCCATGGCATTGTCAGTTTGTTTTCGACTTATGAGTTTGAATATCTCTTTGGTATCTTCCGCCTCTTTAAAAAATTTTAAAGTCAACCATAACATCCTTATTGTTTACTTTTGCCCTATTCTATAAAATTAGTTTTATTGCGTCAATGATTTATGATCTGTGAACTTATTAAGTTCGTTTTTGTCGGCTTTGGCTTTCAATTTTTAATGGAACAGATATAGATCTGTGAAATTAAGTCAATTAATGTCCTTTATAAAAAGGTCATAGTTTTAGCATTCATAGATCGTTTGAAATTTTAAACAGCTTACACCAACTAACCTTTGATTTATTTATATAAAAAAATCGGTTACTTTGATTTATAGTCCACAAGAACCAAATCATTATGGGTATTTTATGGACCAGCGACATTACCTTAAGCAGAATTTTATAGAATCTTTATAGATGAGATTGGGTGAGGTTCAGACTTCTATGTCATTTCGTTTTGATTACAACTTAATAGTAA